GGGCACAATTCCTGCACTGTGTCTCCAGTGCTGTCCCCTGAAGTGTCAGTGAGGGGACGTCGTGTCTCGTGGAGGGGCTGGCCTTACGGTCCTCTCTGTGCCTTGGCTGATCCGGGCAGGAATGTCATCTTGGGGCTTCGTGGGCCAGGATGCAGTTCACACTCTCTTTCCCTCTAAGTTTGCTCCCGTGTGGTCTGGGCAGACCCCTTACTCTCTGCAGGCTGTGTCTTCAGTGCTATGCTCTGTAGTGCAATCTTCTGGGGAGGGGGTCGATTTAGCTGGGATTGGGGCTGGCTTCGCAGGCCTCTCTGTTAGTTAAATGCTTCATGCTGGTATATTGCCCTTAAGGCTTGGTATACCAAGTTGAGGTCTGGTCCTTCTCTCCCTTTCCTGTGGAGACATAAACAGTACCCTCCCCATGTGTGGGTTAGTGCCCTGTTCCCCCACTACTCACATCCTCTCTTTTCTTTTCTCTTCCTTTTTAGATGGCTGCCATATGCATCCCTGGGTTGGGTCTGACCCCTGCCAGAGTGCCTGGCTTTGCCCTGAGAATTTATGCATTTAGTGACTTTTTCCCTAAGGCCCTTGTGCTTTTTAAGCTTACCTCAGTGGACTCATGTTGTACTTGTCCTTTTGTGCTTGACTTACTTCACTTAGCATAATTTCCTCCAATTCTTCCCATGCGATGATGTGCTTCATGCATTAATCACTGCTTTTAGGGATGCATAGTACTCCATCACATGTGTGTAACAGAGGTTTTTAATGTATTCATTCATTGATGGAAATGTAGGTTGCTTCCAGCTCTTTGCAATTGTGAACTGCATTGCGATGAACCTTGGAGTACAGATGTCTGGCTGTGGTTGGCTTCTTACCTCCTCTAGGTATAGACCCAGGAGGGGGATTGCTGGGTCATATGGTAGCTTGATTTGCATTTGTTTTAGGTATTGCTAAATCGATTTCCATAATGGCTGCACATACCTACAGGTCCACCAGCAGTGGATGAGAGTTCCTGTCTCACCACAGCCCCTCCAACACTGTTGCTTTCTGTGTTTTTGAATTGGACTATCTTCAAGGGTGTTAGGCCATCATTTTGAATACATTTTCTTTCTTCTTAAACTACTTGATATCAGCTTCCCTTTATTCCCTCCTTCCCTCATCCTACCTTCCTCCTGAACCCTTAATATTATCATCATAGGTTTTTTTTTGCCATAACTTACACCTTCCAATGCATCCATTCACCTAAAATTTTGATATTCGTTCCCTTAATTTATCAGTTCCCCCCTCCGACCCTCCTTCCTGGATCCTCAGGGAATCATACTCCCATTACTGTTTCTGAGGGTTTTATCTATCTCGAATTTCCTGCATCGAAAGACCTTAATTGTACCAATGTACATACTCAGGTATAGCAAGATTAGTGAGGTAAAATTAAGGCCATAATAGTGGCAGGAGGAAATTTTAAAGAACTAGAGGATAGTTATGTGTTTCATCAGTGTTCTACTGCATTCTGGACATATTGTCCCTTCTGGTGGCCCTTCTGTGAGGTACTGTTCAATTATCTTACAGGTGGACTTTGGGTGTCCACTTTGCCTATGCTCCTTCATGACAAATTGATTGTTTTTGATTTTCTGATAACTGATCGTGTTAACCTCTCATGATCACACAGGCTGGTATGCTTATTCCATGAGGGTTTTGTTGCTTCCTTGCTAGACGGTCACTTGTTTAATTTCAAGCCTTTAAGACCCCAGATGCTATGTATTTTAATAGCCGGGCACCATCAAACTTTCTTTACCACATTTGCTTATGCACCCATTTTGTCTTCAACGATTGTGTTGGGAGGGTGAGTATCATACATTGGCATATTATTAGAACAAACCATTCTTTTACTGAGGTAAGATTTACATAGAGACTCAAAGTCTATCTGCTTCCTTATCGTATTTTTATATAGATAGGTAGGTAGATAGGATGAATTCTTTATTTGCTTAGATACTAGCATATTTATTTCCTGCTGCAGCCTGAGCACCTATGTAGCACCTATGATTAGCTCTACACATTTTTGTTGGAATTGTTCGGTCTTAAAGTCTTAGTGGTTGGTGGCCTCTAGATTGTACCCTGAAAGTCTGTTTTCTGTTCCTACTCGGGTTGGCTAGTTGGCTACCTAATTAACACTAATTTAGGTGATTAGCCCTTTGGGAATGCCAGGAACTCTTAGTTTAGAGAAGAGTTTAGATTTAGATTGTGTAATGCATTAGAACCTAACTTCTCATTATAAAAGAAAAGAGAAGACTTGATGAATCTCTGTAAGATTGTTAGAAATGTTTTTCTTGCATTAACTTTTAAGATGGACAGTTTTGTCCCCATTTTGTTAATGGGGAGACTGAGACTCCCAGGGGTTAAGTAGTTTGCTCAAGACACCACAGTTGTGAATGTCAACATAGAGTTTGAACTCAGATCACGGTTAGTACAAAGTATATTAGTTTCCTATTTAAATTGTACTGATAAGTATATTAACATTTTTCATAAAGCTTTTTCATATAACCAAGATGAAAAATAACTTGTTTTGCTTTCTTTCTTTGTGGCCTGAACAGAAGAACTTTCAAAGTAGTAAGGAAGAGGGCCCAATGAATTCTTTTCAGTATGTGATTTTAAAATAGCATATTTTTTTTCACCTGCTGTTTTAGGACTTTTAGGCTTCCTTGCTTTAAAGGTCATTTGATATAGTGGAGACTGAATTATTGGTTAAATACATAATAACATACACTCAAATGAAGTTGCTATTATTTTACTTAGTGTAGACCTCAGATGTGTTGTTTGTCTTCATTCATATATTTTGCACAGTTCCTTGGCCTGGTTGCCACATTTTCTTTTTTAATTGTTAAGTAAAAGAAGTGAGTTCTGCTAGAGGTTCTTTCCTTTCAGCTTTATACTTATCAAATGGTTGACCTTAGCTTAAACAAGGAATGTCCTGTGCTCCATATATTTAAGTGTATGTGTCAGGTACTACCATAAGTGGAAACACAATTTTGTTTAAGACATTGTTCTATCTTTACCTTTCTTGGATGAAAGATGATAGATAAATAGGTAACCTCAATATAGTAGGTTAGGTACTATAACACAGATAATATGTACTATAATACAGTTAATTTGTAGGATTATTGGATATCTTTCACCTGTGTATTTTGAACAGGGTCTCGTGGGAGAATTGGAGCCTTTTATACTGGTGGAGTTTAGCTGAATCTCTTTACGAATGACTCGATGAGGAATGAGTTGAGGTTATATTGGGAGTAGGAGGGAGACTGTAATTAATAATGATGTGTGTGGAGTTGGTTTTGAACAGAGTGAACCTGTAAAACAGGATGTAATCTTAAAAAAATTTTTTTTCTTTAGGCTGTAATCTTTATGGGAGTAGTTTGCCAGTAATCTTCCCTGGAGGAGCGGAGTGCTTAACCAGTGCTTAATCATTACATAATAGAAATGTAATTTTCTGAAGCAAACAAAAAGAAATTATCATTACAAAAATGGGAAGAAGAAGTAGAGCCAGATTATTGAATTATAAAATGTCCTTATTTTTAATTAAGGGGAAAGAAGTTCTGTGAGTTTGATGATCTTAAATGTTACTATGTTTGGAGAATGTAATATTGAATATTACTTAATTTAAGAGATAACTTAAACTAATAACAAGTGTAGGTGGACAGATACATTGGATGGTGTAAGATACTGCAAAAAAGATTACATATAATATAATAAGTGTTCCTGGGAGGCAGGGTGGGGGTGGATAAAGGGAGCTGATACCAAGGGGTTCAGGAAGAAAGAAACCGTTTTGAAAATAATGATGGTAGCAATTGTACAATTATGCTTGATCTCATTGAATTATGGGTTGTTATACCTGTAAGAGCTCCTAATAAAATGATTAAACATATATATCTATATATACACTTATGTATGTGTGTCAATGTGTAAAAAATACTTGATGTGTTATTGATGATTTTTCTTTTTTTCCCCGTTCTCCAGAATGAAGGGAATATTTTGATTGCTAGAAGAAATGAAGTACAACAGAGGCTATACACAGCTGTAAAAGTGTTCATCTTGGAAGTAGATGAATTACCTCTTAATAAACGCTTGGAAACATTGCAGGTTGGAATTTTTTTTTTCATGAATTCAATGTAAACTAACATAAGCTTAACATTTGAAAGGTGAAACTAGCCCCCGTTTTTTTGTGACTTCCATTTCACTGATGTCTGCAAAAATTTTCTTTTTACTGAATTTTCATTAGAATTCCAATTATTTTTCAATGGGATTAAATTTATATTAGTGTATTTATTTTTATGTATGTATCCTGATAATGTTGGAGTCCTGGTAGCATTGTAGGTTAGGGTGTTAGCCATGAGTTAAATTTGGTTTGACTTGGTTTGGTTTTAGATCTTGATAATAAATTGAAATGGCCCATCACTCTGGACTTTTTAAGAGTGTTAAAAACAAAAATGAAAAATAAAAATCCACCTCACTACCATCAAGCCATTAGGATTTTAAAGACCCTGTAGGACAGGATAGAACAGCCTCTTTGGGTTTCTAAGAGTTACTCCTGTAACTCTTTACAGGAGTAGGAAGCCTCATGTGTCCCTCAAGGAGCACCTGGTGGTTTCAAACTGCTGACTTTCTGCTTACCTTGAGATTAGCAGCTGACCTTGAGGTTAGCAGCCCCATGTGTAATGCCACCAAGGCTCCTTTACTTATTAGTGTAGCATTCATGAAATTCATACAGCAAGTGGTCCAGGAGCAAGCACAGGGGCAGACGTGTGGGCCCAGTGACCCATTTTAGCAGGACCCATCCGACCCAGTTTAGTAGGATCCTATGTCTGAGTTAGCCTTCACCATGGATTACAATTCAATGTCAAGAAGACCAAAATCCTCACAACTGGACCAATAGGTAAATACCATGATAAATGGAGAATAGGTTGAAATTGTCAAGGATTTTGTCTTGCTTAGATCTACAGTGAATTCACCATAGAAGCAGAAGCCAAGAGATCAAAAGACATGTTGCATTAGGTTACTTTGCTGCCCAAGACCTCTTTCGAGTTTTGCACAGCAAGGATGTTACTTTGTGGACTATGGTGTGCCTGACCCAAGCCATGGTATTTTCTATTGCCTTATATGCATGTGAAAGTTGGTCATTGAATAAGGAAGACTGAAGAAATGATGCATTTGAGTTGTGGTGCTGGAGAAGAACATTGAAAGTACCATGACTGCCAGAAGAACAAATGAATCTGGTTTGGAATAAAGAAAGCCAGAATGCTCATTGGAAGCAAGGGTGATGAGACTTCATCTCACATACTTTGGACATGTTATCAGGGGAGGCCGGTCCCTGGAAAGGGACACCATGCTTGGTAAAGTAGAAGGCTGCAGAAAAAGAGGAAGACCACAAGGAGATGGATTGACACCGTGGCTGCAACAATGGACTGAAATGTAACAATCGTGAGGATGATGCAGGATCAGTAGTGTTCTGTTGTATGTAGGGTTGCTACCAGTTGGAATGGACTTAAATGACACCTAAAAACAACAATAGAGTCTTTATGAACATGTAACTCATAGATCTAAAATTCAGGGACCTGTTTTTTTTTTATCACAAGAGCCCTGGTGGGGTAGTGGGTTTCATGTTACGCCGCCTTATGGAAACAACTTGGAATAAGCCCACACGGTCAAGCAATACCTCTGCTGGGCATATACCCCAAAGAAATAGAGACAAAACACAAACACGCATACTGTCCCACTTTTATTGGAGTTCCATTAATAGAATAGATAAGCTGTACATGCATACAATGGACTACTGTGCATCTCTAAAAAACAGTGATGAAACCACAAAGTATCTAATGATATGGATGAACCTGGAGAATATTTTGCTGAGCAAAGTTAATCAATTATAAAAGGATAAATATTGCATGAGGCCACTGCTATAAGGATACATGCCAATACAATGACAGACATTTGTTCCTAGGTTATGTAATCATATAATTCAGTCTTTCATACGATGAGGTACCTGCCTGATGCTTATGATCTATATATCACCCCTTACTTGTACATCTTAAAACCACTTTGTCAGAGGACGCGTCACTGCAGCTGCGGTCAGTTTCTCAAGTGTGGAGAGAGAGGAGATAAATCAGTTGATAAATTATATAGCATCTTTTAAAAGTCACCCCAAATAAAAGGGTACTCAGTGAACCTTAATGGAAATTCAAGTCCAGAGGTGGGTGAGGGCAGACATAACTGCTTCTGAAAAGGTAATTTCGTTTCTGTTGGTGGGTAACCAGGAGAGGCAACCTGCCCTTGGGAAAACCACTTATCATTACTTCTCCCCTTGGGAGAATATGCCTGGATCATGTTCCTAATCAGGTGCTTTTGACCGAGTTTCTATCCAGCCTTTGACAACCCAGGATGTGAGCTATAGCTGTCCTTTTGAGGTGCACAAGATCTCTCATAGGCCACAAGAGAAGGATCCCTTTTGGAAACCCAGCTAAGTGAACCAAACTTTCCCTGTAATACACCTGTAGCAGATGAAAGACTACTGTACTGCTTCCTTGGACTTAGGCTGAGAGCCAGCACTATGAGGAGAAGCAGATGACTCCTCCTCCAAGTTTATGGATTTGGAAGTAATTGGGAGGTGGCACAGACTGAGTAGTGTTTCATTGGTTGTACGGAGGGTTGCTATGAGCTGAAACTCACTCGACAACACATAAGATCCTCAGTTGGTTATTATTTGTAATGACTTAGTTTTTCTTTATTCTTTTTTTTTTTTG